CTATTTAAAAAATACTAGTTATGGACATGTGTGTTGCACGTGTATTCCTATCAAGTATTTCAAACTTTCTAAAATGACATGAATATTAGTACAACATACATGTGTAAGTGTTTCCAATTTGAAAGTGAAAATACAACTTTCCATGTGAAAATATATGTTGCAACAATATAAAACAATTGCAAAGACGGTATAATGTTACTCTTGAACAATATATTTCAAGTAGAATGTTGAATAATCTTGCTGATTTATATTACTAAAATTTAAACAAAATGAAGCTTAATTACTCCATTCTTATAATATTACAATCAAAATGTCCAAAAGCAAAATTGTCTCGCACCAACGATTTGAGTTTTAACACTGCAGAAAACTACCATCAATATATATATATATATATATATATATATATATATATATATATATAGATTTCTCATATTTAAGAAATTATTAGTCTTAGTGTCACACAAATATAAATGGAACTCTCATTTTTATTTGAAAATTTAGTTGTTAATCTCATTCAAACAAATTATAGAAAAACTAAAAATAAAACAAAAAGGGTGAAAATGAACAATATATGTATGTGTTTGCAACAATATATTAGATAGACTATAAAGTAACACAATTAAAATCTTTCATTCTAAGTAGCAATTTTTTAGCAAACTTTATTTAAATTAATTTGAATTTAGACAATTGACAATATGGATATCTGAGCATATTGTATAAATTATTCAAGTATTATCAAACTCATCATACATTAATAGAAGTTTTGTCGATTAAGTATCACTTACAAGGACAATAACACAATGACAAATAAAAATAAATTCCCACAACAGTGCAAAATGATACAAGAATTACATAAAAATGTGGATTGCATACCAAATTTAATTTGGAAAACCATACCTTGACACCAAAATGGAAAAGAAAACTTAAAATTATGAGCTAATAAACAAAATATCTCAAGGTATAGGTCCTCTCTTCTATACTTCTAAGTTCAACTATTCTACTGTAAGAAAACTTCTCTTTTTCATGATTTCATCTCTTATACTTTAACTTCAACTATATTCTATGGTAAGAAAGCTAACTTCAAAATGATGTCATTTGTTCTTCTTCTCAATTAGCTTATTGACGATATGATATATCATTATCAAGAAAGAAGATTAGAGAACCATAGATGGCCAAAAAGAAAAGAATATGATAATCTAGGGACAAGCATATTGTGGCTATAATTTACTGGTATTTATAGTGATATTTAATTGTCTTTTCACCTCCCAAAATTCAATAATGAGACACATTGAATCATGACACATAAATTTTATTTTTGGTTTCAAAATTCAAAGAGTCACTGAATTGGAAAATTTTCAATAATGAGACACATTGAATCATGCACATAAATTTTATTTTTGGTTTCAAAATTCAAGGAGTCACTTTATTGGAAGAGTTACATACATTGTTTTGTCTTCTACTTTTAGTAAATTAATTAATCTAATCAATTATAATTATAATGACATAACACAAGAATTAAAGTATAGTTGTAGGGTTTCATGTATATTATTATGTAATTAAAATATTAATATTTAACAAATTAAGTAACCATATTTTGATTTAGTGGAGGGTAAAATGGTAATTCAACTTTGAAGGTTGGAGCATTCCACTTTTAATGATACTAGTTTTTTGACACGTGTGTTGCATGTGATTACCAATTCAAAAAATATATGTTATAGTAAATAGTATTTCTTATTTAAGCGAATATTTGAATAATAAGCTTATCACAAAATAATATTGTAGTTTTTTTTGTGAATGTTCAATGTGCATCGTCATATATATATATATTATATTATTATTATTATTAGGTAACTATAATAATGTATATATTTATTTCAATTTGATGGGGTTCAATCATGTAATTAGTCGTATCTCACTAATATTACATTATAGACGATATATGTTGTGTATTTTTCTTGTAATCTAACCAGATGTTCGTTGCACATGTATTCCATATTAAACTGTTCAGATGGCATATGAACATGTGAAGAGAATAACTACATTTTTCTTTAGAACTTTTTTTTGTATATTAATTTTTATTTTATAAGTTATAACATAATAGATGACGTTCTTGTTGTTGACTCTCATATTTGACTTCTTGATTGACTGTGTACATAAATCAAAGATCGTTATCTTATTTTTCATGGTTAACTTAGAAATGTTTCCTTTTATTTACTGGAAAAACTAAAATTTAAAATTTAAGAATATATTCTATCTGTAGATTCATATAAATAATCACATGTTCATCTTACACCAACAAAGATATAGTTTATATACTTGTAAACGATTTTCAATTTACTCAAGCAAGCATGATTCGTTAAAGGAAAATAATAGCATCGTGTTATCACATATATAGGGGCGGTATAATAATATGAAAAATTATTGGTCAAAAGTTAATATAAGAAAAGATGAAATTTAGAAATTATTAATGTAATAACTATGGAATTCATAATATTATAACTAAGAATGTAAAAGAGTGTGACTAACATTTTCAATAATTAGTAATAACTAAGAGAATTTATAATGTTATAACTAAAGAATTAATGTACAATAGCCGAATTTCTAATAAATTTTATATTTACATAAATAAATAGGACTTTTAATTCATGTTACTATTTTATTAATAGTTATTTGATTTTAATTTAGTGTAGGGACAAAATGTAAATGTTTATTTCATATTACTGAATATAAAATTTATTTTGTAAATAAATTTTTTAAATGATTCATATATATTCACATACTTTCACATATGTTGTGAGTTTTTTTTTTAATAAAAAAAAATTCGGAACATTTTAAAATAATATATTTTGATGTTAGAAGATCTTGTTAACTTGATAATACATTCGTGACATATATAATACTTTAATTTAAATACAAATACCTACCCAAATATAAATATAGATTTACATTAATGAAAATATTTATCTCATAAAAATTAGCTATGTATTAAATAAATATTAAACTACTACAAACTTCAACTGGCGTTATTACAAGTCATATGAACTTTTCTTCGTTTAAAATATTGAAATATTAAGAAATAATAAATAAGTAAAACGAAAGGGTAATGTTTATATAGTAATAACTATTTTGAAGCAAACTTCCTCACAATCTATTTGTGTCTTATCTAAAAAGTCGTGACCTTTCTGAGAAGTCACAACCCTTTGGAAAAGTCACAACTTATTGAAAAAGTCACAACTTTTTGGACAATTCACAACTCATCGAAAAATCACAATCCTTTGAAAAAAGTCACAACGTATTGAAAAAATTACAACCTAAGTTAGGGGTATTATAGTAATTTTTCATTCAAGTTGGGAGTTCATGCAAAATGATACAAAATTACATAAAAATATGGGTTGCATATCAAATTTCATAACAATGCAAAATGATACAAAATTACATAAAAATATGGGTTGCATATCAAATTTATTTTGGACAATCATACCTTAACTCCAAAATGGACAAGAAAAACTTAAAATCTATGAATATTTGTTCTTTGAATTTTTGACTTAACACCTTTCCACTTTTAGAATTTAGTGTAATATAATAATAATATTATATAATTACTATTTAATAATTAATTGATTAGCTATTTCATAATGTTTTTATTTAGTGTAAGGGTAAGATGGTATTTCAACTTTTAACTTTTTTTGTTTTCACTTTTAGTAATATATGATATTTTCACTTTTACATTATCACTTTTAACATATTAAGAAAAAATAATTATTTTTTTCATGTTTTATCCTTAACATTAATTACTTATTCCCAACTCATTTATCATGAACTAATACTAAACATGAATTAGCAGGGGGAATGTGGTAAAATAATCATGTCAATTATTATTCTCTTAATCATTATGTGAAGTTCAAATATTACCATGTTCGTACCCCAAGGGTAGCGACTAGGGTCGCAGCTTCAAGTTTCTTTGTCATAAATAATCGAGTGCCTATTTTTTTTTAATTGAAAGAAAAGAGAAATAGGGGTTCTAACTGGATTTGAACCCTGGTCTCACGAGTGATTCCTCTAGCTTGTACCAGCAGCATAAAAAATCGAGTGTCTATTTTATAATAATCATCACATTTAAAATAAATTCCTACCAGATAACTCTGTCCACCAAAGTTTAGGCAGATAGGAAAAAACCGGAAAGGATATACTTTGTCAAAAATTGGAGAGGATGTATGGACAAAGTTTGATCTTTGAGTACTTGGCATGCAAATGGAAAATTCCAAAAAGCAACAATTACTTTTCCTTTTTTTCTTCTTTATAGTGTCTGTCATTGCAAGAAAGCATATATTTTAGGAAAGTTGTAACATGAGTTTGAGTGAAGGAAGATATGGAATCAGATGTTCACTACTTTAAAATATTAGCTAATAAATACTCTCATTTTAAATGATATTATTTTGACCCCACTCTTAACATGAATGCGCTTATAAATCTTTGTGAATTTGTTGCTTGGAATAACAAAATCAAACTCTCCATTACCTCTCTCAAGCATTGATTTTCATACCAAATTCTACATTGCTTTTCTTTTAGCTTTCATTTTCACACCAAATTCTCCAACATTACTACTCTTTGATTTTCATACCAAATTCTCCATTTTCACTCTCTCATATTTCATTTTCATACCTAATTCTTCATTGCTGCTCTTTTAGCTTTCATTTCATACAAAAATTCTCCAATTCCACTATCTCATATTTCATTTTCATACCAAATTCTCCATTTCCACTCTCTAATATTTCATTTTCATACCAAATTCTCCACCGCTCTATCATATTTCATTTCAATACCAACTTCTTCATTGCTGCTCTTTTAGCTTTCATTTTCATATAAAAAATTCTCTAATTCTGCTATCTCATATTTCATTTTCATACCAAATTCTTCATTTCCACCAGTCAAAAAGAGAGAATTAGAAAGCAAAAAGTTCAGACTTGATAGTTGAAAAAAGGCTTACTACTAAACTATCTATGGAGTTCTTATCTATTTTAGTGGAAAGAGTTGCATGTTGCTTGATGCAGCCAGTTGCACGAGAGATTGGGTATTTAGTTTACTACAAGAGTAACATGAGATGTATGGATAAAGAATCTGAGAAGCTAAAGAATATCAAAAGTGAGGTGCAGCGGAGAGCGGAAGATGCACGGAGAAACTTAAAACACATTTCAGCCAATGGCGAGGCTTGGTTAAGGAATGTTGATATACCACTACTGAAGATGTGGCAGCTGTAATACAACGACGTAGAATTGAGGTTGAAAGATATGGTTGGTGTCCAAACTTGAAGTCACGTTACTCCCTAAGCAAGAAAGCTAAGAAAATTGCAGGGGAGTTGATTGATCTTCGAAATGAAGGCACCAATCCTAATGCTTTCTCCTACGATCATCCAGTTCAAAGTGAGGTTATACCTAGTTAAAATGATGAGGTGTATGACTCCAGAAAATTAAAAGAGGAAGAGGTCATGGCAGCTTTGAGAGATGACGGGGTCACTATGATTGGGGTATGTGGTCTGGGTGGTGTTGGTAAGACAACACTGGCTGAGAAAATCAGACAAAAGGCAAAACAAGAAAGGTTGTTCAATGATGTTATCATGGTAACTGTCAGTCAACAACCCGAGTTGAAGAGAATTCAGGGATGAGATCGCAAGAGGAGTCGGGCTGACATTAGAAGGGGATGATATGTTGAGTCGTGGAAATTGACTGCGTACAAGGTTAATGGATCAGAACAGCCGCACCATTATCATCTTGGATGATGTTTGGGAGGATCTTCATGATCTAGATAAACTTGGAATTCCCAGCGGTAGTAACCAGAACCATTGGTGCAAAGTGATATTGACAACGCATTCCCGAAATGTTTGTGAGGCAATGGAAGCTCAGAATATCATGGATGTTGGAATGTTATCTGAAAAGGAAGCATGGTGCCTTTTCAAGGAGAAAGCTGGTGATTCAGTTGACATTTCGTCTATTCATGACACAGCAAAAAAGGTTGACAAAGAATGCAAGGGGTTGCCATTTGCAATTATTACAGTTTCAGGAGCACTAAAGCGTAAAACTAAGCCTTCATGGGAAGATGCCTTTATACAATTACGTGATGCAGAACCAAAAAATATCCCTAGAGTGCACACAAAGGTGCATAAATCTCTGAGGCTAAGCTACGACCACTTGGGAGAGAATGAAGCAAAGTACCTCTTTTTGTTTTGTTCTTTGTTCGACGAAGATCGTGATATTTGGAGTGAAGAATTGGTTAGAATTGGAATGGGGCTTGACATCTTTTCGGGAATTAAAAATATACAAGGAGCAAGAAATAGGGTGTGTCTTCTATTAGAAATATTGTTAGATTGTTTCTTGTTATACCAAGGTCGTTTTGACAAAAATCATTTGAAAATGCATGATGTGGTCCGTGATGTGGCTATAAGTATCTGAGGGAGAGCATAACTTTATGGTAAGTCACGATCTTAACTAGAAAGAGTTCCCAAGAAGAACTTCTTATGAGCATTTCAGTCACATGTCCATTGTTGCAAATAAATTTGATGAGCATCCTAGACCAATATTTTGTCCAAAACTGAAGCTTTTAATGTTGAAACTCTGTTTTGAAGATCCATACAAATTACAGAAGGATTTTTTTGATGAAATGATTAACCTCAATGTCTTGAGCCTGAGGGGACAGATTTGTGGAGTCCATTATGTCTTTTCCATCATCGATTCGGAGGTTGTCAAGTCTGAGAACGCTGTGCGTGAGTAATTTAAGCTTGGATGACATATCCTTTATAGGGGAACTTGTCGAATTAAAAATTCTCAACATAAGAGATTGTGAGTTAGATGAGCTGCCAAAGGAGATAGGAAAATTGAGCAAGCTAATTATGTTAGAGTTTTGGAATGAGAATACAACAGTTAAAAGGATTTCAGCAGGGGTGTTATCAAAACTAGGTCAACTGGAGGAACTACTTATGGCGGGAGTAGTAGATTTGAGGGAAGTGGAATCCTTATCAAAATTGAATGTACTGACATTACGTAAATGTTGTAGCAATGCGATCTACATTAACTTTGATCTTTGGTCCAATTTGACACGGTACACTCTTAGACTGGGTTGACAAGCTGACAGTGAGATGCTGCCCAATGGTCGTTACGACAAGAATATTGCTTTAGAGGTGACGGATACTGCCCCATTAGGGGATTGGATCTGCCACATATTGAAGGAGAGCGAACTTGTACTTTCAAGCGGAAAGGGCTCTAATAATGTGTTGACTGAGTTGCAACTGAATGAATTTCAGAATGTGAAACATCTAAACATCTTCAAATGTGATTTAGTGACACATTTATTGAAGATGACATATGAAGTAATCAAGTTCCCTAATTTATCTTATTTGAACCTTGCATCTCTCGAATGTCTCACTCACTTTTGCAGTGCCACTATCGAGGGCATTGAGTTCCCTCGGTTACAGAATATGTACTTAGGTGGATTACCTAAGTTTCAAAATTTCTGGCCTACACCCAACAACTCCTTCACTCACTCAAATCCTCTTTTTCATGAAAAGGTTTGCTTCTTATCATCAAAATGTTACCTTTTACTTGCCATATTTACTTATACAAAGTCTATTGCTCACATATATCCATTTTCTCCAATAATTTTAATTTTTTTTTTTTTACTTTTGTATATTCAACCGGTATTTTTAAGTTTTAAATATCTCCTTAGACATCTATTAACTTATCATTATTTGAGTTTCATAATCGTATTTCATTCTTTTAGTGTGAAAATAAATAGCTATGGAAAAAGAAGAAAAAAGTAAGAACAAATTCAAGACTATTTTGTTTCAAGCTATATTGTAATTTATTTTTTGAAAAAGGGTACACAATTCTCTTAATCTACGTGAAATGATAAAACAAATGTTCTTCATTTATAGTATAGTCAAAAAATGTCCTTGCCATTGATACTTTGGTCTAAAAATGTCCCAATTGTTACTAAATGGGTCAAAAATACTCTGTTCCGAATAATTATATTATTTCTATTCTTTTTAAGAAAATCTTATTCCTAATAAAAAATATTACTTTCAAAGAAATGTATTCTTGTTTTCTTTATTTTAAAATCAACTTAACTAATAAAAAAACATAGGAAATAATTTTATTCTTCTTAATCTCAGTTTGTAAATTAAAATAGAATAATTTCATAAACCCTTTTAATGGATAAATATGTCATATATATAAGATCAAAGTAAATCAACCATTAATTTTTATTTAGATAATTATAGTAAAATAAGAAATATTTTTAATATTAGTTTTTTCATATTGAAGTAGGATAAACATTTGGTAATACAAAAATATTATTATGATTGAGGCCAAGAGCTCCAAGTGTATGTGCAACAAAATACAATAAAGTTTGATACTTCAACATTTGCAAGTTTCTTGTCCCAACCTAGAAAATCTAATTATAAGGTGGGCTAGCAACATAAGTGCTCTATGCTCTCACCAACTTCCAACTGCCTACTTTAACAAACTTCAAATCCTGGCAGTATCAGATTGTGAAAAATTAAGAAACTTGATGTCTCTATCAGTTGCCAGAGGTCTTCTGAATCTAGGGTTACTAGCGATTTCAGATTGCCAATCAATGGAAGAAGTGATCATAAAAGAGGAACAAATAGGAGAAGGAATCATGACCTTATTTCCCCGGTTGCAAAAGCTGAGCCTACGCAATCTGCCTAAGCTGGGGCATTTCTTTCTGACAAACAATGCTCTTGAGTTTCCATTTCTCAGAAGTGTGGATATTTATGACTGCCCTGAAATGAAGATGTTTATCCAACATGAAATATCTATGAGTACACCGATTCTTGAAAGTGTGAATTTCCCTTTTAATTATGAGGTTAAAGTAGATGATCTGAATAAATGGACACAACAGAGGTTCAATTACAAGGTTTGTCTTGTCCCACTAATTGCTACATATTATAATTAGGTTCTACTTCTATCGTTATTTAAGTTCGTCAACTTTCTTTTACTTAATAAGATACTCATCTCTCTTTTCTTTTGCATCTCTTTTTCCTCCAGGAACAAAATGCTAGCAATGCAACCTAGTCATGGCAGAATTTATGAGGGTAGTAAGTACTCAATGAAATAATGCAACTAAAACCTCGAACATCACATCATACCTACACTCGTGATGGAGGTAACAAGCAGAGGCGGATCTACATTATTGTAACCTATCGATTCATGTCAACCCACTAGCTATTGCCCATAGATCTTGTATATGTATTAGTAATATCTAGAAAATAGTTGATTGTGATTTAAACTTGAGGTGAATGTGGGATTCTGTAAACTTTAAATTTGGCATCCGCCTTTGGTTCTAAATTCTTCTTTCATTATATTTAACAGCTAATATGTAGATTTATTTTCTCATGTCATCTTGCATTCTACGTTCTAAACTCTGTTGCCTTTCTTTTTTGGTTAGGCAGAATTGTGTAGATTTTTACCTTGTATAAATTTCTGTATTTGAATTATATATAGTAGTAACTAATTACCATCAATGTTGCTTTCTTCCAGGGCATACAATCAAGCCCCATCTAATTTTATTATCAACCATCGATGTGCTCGAGCTCCCAAGACCTTGACCCTGGTGGATAATGTCTCTTTCTATCATTTCCGTTCACCATACTAGTGTGTTTGTTACATTAACGTATTACCTGGTAGAATCTGGATAAATTGTTTATACATATTAACAGCAAGAAAGGAATTTTTAGTTGTCCTTCAAAACTACATCTTATTTGAATTGTGTCTCGATAACGCAGTGTGCCATAAAAGAGACAACCAGAAAGATCATAACTTTTCGAACAAATTGAATACCATGGCCTGGATTTACAGTTGAGGAACAAAACCAACATTTTTCCAATCTCACTCTGTACCATAACAAATGCAGTATTAAATAAAAACCAAAACACTAGAGTTATACAACAAAGATAAACTCTTTATAGATACTAAAGGAGGAATGCTTATCCTTTCTTGCAACAAAACGCACAAATAAATCGAAAACTTAGAAGGTCGGAATAATCCAGATTTCCACTTACAAACAGCGGACAAATATGTCTCAATACACATTCTCCTTCTAACCAATGTATTCCCTCCGCCTTGATCTTTTTGTCAACTTTATGCATAAGTATAACACACTTGTAATCCTGGAGGAGAGCTATTTGATAACAACTCAGTGATAGAGTTATGTATAGGAGGAGAGCTACTTGATCTAAAGAGGGTAGAGTGTACGCAAACTTTATCTCTACCTCGGAGGTGAGATATATAATATTATTATCCATAAAAGGAATAATAAAGCTTACTCTAGAATTCAACTTCCAAAATTTCCAAGAGTTTGAAAAACAACAAAAGTTGAGTAGAGAACAAGGGCTTCAACATGACTCACTTAATCAATTGGAGAGAAAATTCCAAAATCAAACATTGCTTTTACTTTTTATCTACATTTCTTTTTCTGCCATATGGAGTCAAATTTTTTGAAATGAAATCTAATCAAACACTCCCACTTTAATAATGTTGTCATTTTTAACCCCACTACTTCTTTAGTTTTCATTTTCATATACCAAATTCTCCATTATTATTCTTTCAGCCTAGAGATGACAATGGGGTGGGACGGGCCGGTTGCGGAGAAAATTCGCATAAACCCGCGAAGACTAGTCTATATATATATATATATATATATATATATATATATATATATATATATATATATATATAACAGAGTTCAGACTTGAGAGTGGAGAAAAGGCTTATTACTAAACAATACTAGCAACAGAACTGGTAACAAAGGAGATTTCCTAATACAGAACATGATTCCACTTAATCAATTGCAGAGAAAATTCCAAAAGCAAATATTACACTTTTCCTTTTATTTTTACTCCCACTGTAATTTTGACCCCACTACTACTATTCATGCTTGCATATTGTACTATACCAAATTCTCTATTATTTGTCTTGTTAAGTTTTCATTTAATATCTCACCTTTACTTCCCAGTAACTATGTGATGTTCATGGCATTTTTTCTCTTTTGGATTTCACACCTTATGTACGGTATTTGAATTCACACGTTCCACTTTGGGGGTAAAATATTTCCTTCCAAAAGTATATATGTTACTTGAACTCGAAACATCTGGTTAAAAAAGAATTGAGTACTTACCATTCCATAAAATCTTTGACGATAAATCCTCCCCTTCTACTAGTACCTTTTTTTTCCATCTAGTCAGGTAAAAGTTTGTAAAAGTTATAAATAAAATTACAATAATTAATTTTATGAAGAAATCACGAGTTCGAGTACTCCATTTTTTAACATGTAAATTAATCGTTGGTGTGTTTGTTGTTTAGTCACTCTCAAAATAGTACGGTGTACTGGTCGCACCACCCTGAGAGAAGTTCTCCAACACACCCAACATCCTCAACAAGGTATCCAGAAACAAAAGAGTTGTAAACTCCGGAGGAACCTAGTCCTCAACAACCTCAACTTGTGGCTAAGGGGAGACCTCTCTAGATCAACCTCTAGCTGGTGCCGCTCCATGAGCACGAACTCTAGCCAATGCTACTCCACTAGAACGAGCTCTAGCTCAATCCCTACCCCTACCCCTAGCTGGGGTCTCAAAAACTACCTCGGGGACTGCCTCCCCCTACCACTGAAACTGGAAGCTTTGGTCCTCGACATATGTCAAAATAACACGTGGTAGCTGAGCACTAATGAAGGTAATCATGCATGATAAGAAATGTTGAATAAAAGGAAGTTTCCTAACAGTCTTCTAAGCCTATCGAATGTAAGTACAGACGTCTCCATACCGATCATCGAGACTCTACTTAGACTTGACTTGTACACACCTGATACCTATGAATCTAGAACTCTGATACTATTTTTCACGACCCAAAAACTGATGTGATGGCACTTGTCTATCCCACCAAGACAAGTCAGCCTCAAACCAAACAATACGAAAGAAAAGCGAAAAAATAAGACAATAAAAGCATAAAAATGAAAAACTTAGCCATTCTAAAATAACCCCAAAACTTGGTTGTCACCTGTACAAGCCACTATTATAATAATACAGAATTTGAAAGATAATATAAGTCTCAATGTCTTTGTTTCTTGAATACAACAAAACATAAAGTAAGGAACAAGAGGGCCTGCCAGAATGACAAGCAAGTACCTCTCAATGTATTCTAAGAAGCCTTAGAAATAGATGAAGAAGAAAGGTCACACGGGTCCAGGCTCGAAACCTCTACAAGTGAAGAAGAAAAGTACTGAACAACACGATACTCAACAAGAAACCCACTAAACAAGGAAAAACTAAGGTAGAATACGAGTACTCCAATCATCCCAACCGAACCACCTCAACTACAACCTTCATAGAAGTCAACCTAACAGCTTTACAATACACAATTCACAAGGTTTACCAATTATAGTTCAATCATCACAATTCACCAACCAACAAGTATCAAATATGTCATTCACAATTATCAAGTATCACGAATAACATTCACTAGTATCATGATCATCAAGAACAATTATCATGTACACTGAATACAAATATCAAGATTATGTCACATGACCCAAAGTACACCCTAGACATGACATGACATGACATATAAGATCTCAAAAGGCCCTACACAAGTCACTTGACATACATATACACATTGTAATAGATAAAAGTAAAGAGTATCATATGAATAAAAGAGTTTGACATTAAAAGCGAAAATCTCTCATAGTCATGACAAACCATCTAGTACATCAAAGAAGTGGTTGAGACTTAACCTGTACACCAAGTACAACATCTGAAAAGTAAAGACAGTTGAAAATAATAAAGGCAACATGGGTCCTCGGACTATGAGGACTCACCAAGTCTTCAAATGTTTTAGTGATCAACTAGCCACGAGTGGGAGGAGTGGAAGCGTTACACCCTACATTAGTGAACAATGAAGGCACAAATATGTGTTAGTACATGGAATATACTATGTATGAGGGATATGCACAAAAACATGAAACATGATAATAAGGGGACATAATCGAAAACATAGTAGAAGCCTTTAAAAAGCATCATAAAACTTGAACATGGTCAATGCATCTTAAATCATAAGGAAAGCTTCATAAAATATTTTAGGAACAACTTAGTGGATTTTGTAGGATATTTACTATTAACCGACATAGACCACATGAGCAATAACATAGAATCCAGTGTCTTGCCACCGAAAAGAGAAGTCCTTACTTGCCAAGGCAAGGACCTTAACTTCTATCTAGGTGGATCCCACTAGCTATGTCACTTAAGACAACATACGGGGTCATGTAGTTAGGGACAAGAAGATTACTACTAGAGACCCGACCTTTACTAATAGGAGAGTCTCCATCTCAATATCCTCTCGGTGCTAAGTAAAATCTCAACAGAATCAGTCATAAATGTGAACACATCATCATACATGTAAAAACACAATTATGTTACTAATCCAAACTAAAAACATCATAGAATAGATTCTTGAATCTTGAATCATGCACGTGTGATAAAACCTTTCAACAAACCATGATCCCTTAATGTGAGAAAACCTTTCACAATTTAGTTTATGCTAATCTTAAATCAACGTAGATCATAAAACATTCCTTTTCATAAATCATGCATATCGTTCATGAAAACATCATCATAGATTCATAATTCCTTCATAAATGCACAACCTTCTGGGGTTCATAGTCAAAATAATGTATCATGCATGAGTTCATATGAAATTGATTTAAAAGAATGTAATTAAGTAAAAACTTTCATAATAAGATCAAAATCATACAATATAATCCATACAAATAGAACCCATGAGGAATTGAATGAAAACCTAATTGGAATTGAATTGGAGAATTGGAGCAATCTTTGGGACTCAATGGGAGAATGGAACCCATTGATGAACTCCCACATACCTTTTTTTTGAAGCCCAAAACAATGGTGAAAAAAGAGACTTGATTTGGAAACCCTAGCTTCTTCTTCTTTGATCTTGGTAGAGAAACTTGAGAGAATTTTGGGGATTTTGGGAGAATGAAACAGAATAGGTCAATTTTAGGATTT